TACTCTTGGTACAATGTACATATGCATGATTCATTAGTTAATTTGGTTTAATGAAGTACATGTATGTGTATAGTGTACACATACATTTCTATTGCAAGCTATGAAAAATTGTTTACATGTAAAAAAACAGCATAATACAAGTCAGATAAAAACACAAAAATGTACTAATATGTACATGTACAACAAATAAAAATATAATAATACAAGTATATACAAATGTATTCTCAATGACTTAATGCTCTTATTTGCACTAGTCCAGGCTCAGTCATTCATGACTAATTGTCTTTGCATTCTTTTAATTCACTCCCTAATTTGTATTCTCTTTTTCTGGAGGACATTATAGTTTTTTTAGTGTTTATTAGCACATACTTCATACTCATCGTACCAGTAGGTGCTAGTTGGTGCTAAAGTGCTAAGTTTTAACAGTCTTCATTTCATCATTGACACTTTGACACTGAAATATTTAGAACACAGTATTTGCATATTATACATGTACAATAATTGAGTTTTTCACTCTTTTAGTAATAGAGATTGGTTGAAACAATTATACTCTATCTCTTTATCTTTAATCACAAATTTCACAATGTCCTATATACTAGTAATTTTACTAGTAATAATTATACTTTTTAGTGATAATTATTTTTGTAATAATTACATTTACTAGCACAGCTTGTACCATGTAATAGATACTAGGGACATATCTATAACCTTGGCTTTTATTTATTTAGGTATAATGTCTGTATATTCGCATACGGTCAGACTGGGTCTGGCAAATCCTACACGATGATGGGTAAAGTTGAAGAAGGAGAGAAAGGGATCATACCGAGGACCTGCGAGGAAATGTTTGATAAGATTGTCTCAACGACTGACCCTAGCCTCTCATACTCTGTAGAGGTGAGACACATCAATATGTACATATACATGTATGTACATATATGTACATACATGTATATGTACATAACTATTGCATGTATATCTATATACATGTACAATGTGTATTATGTACATATGTGCATGTACTGTACATGTACATTATGTGTTCATTATAATGGTAGTAATGAAATCATAGTATGATGTGAGGCTTAATGGTCTAGTAAATTTGCTTCTAAACATGGCTCAATTATTTATGAAATAATGCAAGAATTATTGTGGCATAGCGTCATTATAATGATCGAGCTCAGTTAATGTATTATACATTATACACGTACACGTACATGTATAATGTAAGTACAATATGCTATATACATGTATATGCATGTACATGTACATGTACATGTATAAATAAAGTGTTATTATTTGACGAATTTGTTTGTTATTTTTGTCTATTTCAAAAACACAAAAACAACATTTCCCATAATGCATGTACTCTCACCCATACAATATATTTATTGTATGTACTTGAAGCAACGGTAATTCAATAATAACATGTGTCTGTTACATTATGCTATCGTGTCAATAGTAGCTTATAGTGTCTGTGATCCTGGCAGTCAATATCTTGTGTTGTAGAGTTAGGACGATTAGAATTAGATTTGTAAAATACATTAAAGATAAGCTGTTGGTAGTATTGACTACTTCACTTCCTACCATATACTCTCTGTGGCTTATGTACAGTACATCAATTAAGTGTCTGTATATACAGTTATATAATAGTTATAGTCTATAGTAGCTGCATGTGTATGTATGTATGTATGTAGTGTAGAGTGTATCCTACTGTTATCTTCCTTTCCTTCCCTGCATGTACTATAGCAGTAGTATCTTCTTCATTACATACACAAACACATGATAAACACATGCAAGTGATTGTAGAATGATTATAACATGCAGCTAGACTTTGTTTGTGTGTTTGTTTTGAGTTAGAGTGTTGCTGATTTTAATGGGAAATGTATGCATCGTGACATCCTCTTGTATCTAGTCACCATCTCTTATTTCTTTTCATTTCCTTCTCTTAAATGTACCTTTATTCCTTTATGTCCTCTTTCTTTCTCTCTTTCCTTCTCCTCTCTCTCTCCCCTCAGGTCAGTTATATGGAGATATACTGTGAGAGAGTGAGAGATCTCCTCAATCCAAAGTCCTCCGGTAATCTTCGGGTACGAGAGCATCAAAAGCTAGGACCTTACGTCGAGAACCTTGCTAAACTAGCAGTGACGTCTTTTGCTAACATTAATGGGCTAATGGACGAAGGAAACAAAGCAAGGTCTTTGATTAATGCTAACTGTACTTACGTTATTGTTGTTACCATGCTATAATTCTTTAAATAGTATTATTATTATTATTATTATGTTTAATAATTTATTTTTGTGTGATTTCTCCAGGACTGTTGCAGCTACTAACATGAATGAGACCAGTAGCAGATCACATGCTGTCTTCACCATCATACTCACACAAAGGAAGAAAGACTCTATGACTGGACTAGTAGCAGAAAAGGTATGTGGCAATTATTGAGAATGTAAATATCAATTAGGTGTATAGCATTTACCATTACTGAAAATCCCTTTTAAAATCATGTTCATATTTCTCTATTTATATATAGTGTAATTATAATAATAAGTGATAGGCTAAGCCCTGTAAATGTATTTATTTTCATTCTGGTATTACTGCCAAGATATCAACTAATATTATTTTATTTTTAATTATTTTTGATTATTTAAATTAATCAATGTGTTTATTTCTTCATGATAAAGGTTAGCAAGATTAGTTTAGTTGATTTGGCTGGTAGTGAGAGAGCTAAGGACACTGGAGCTGAAGGGAAGAGACTCCAGGTAATTAGTAATGGACACTATACACTTTAACACTGGTACTTACTTTGTGTATGAATCATAGCAAATTCTTAGATTTTTAATTTTTTATGTGCATGTAACTCAAAAAATTGAAGTCGGAATCAGCTCAAACTTTCTACATAGCATAAAAACATCAATGTTTATTAGAAAATGTAATAAAAATTGGGGGTCATTTTTTAGTCATTTTTTGAAAAAAGCATGGGCTATAGCCTTGGGTATTTTTCAGATTTTGGCAAATTTCTTAAAATGGTTGTAACTTGGAAAATTAAAGTCTGAATTAGCTCAAACTTTCTACATAGCATAAGAACATCAATATGTATCAGAAAATATAATAAAAATTGGGGGTGATTTTGGAGCCATTTTTCAGAAAAAGCATGGGCTATAGTACAGGGTACTTTTCAGATTTTTGCATGTTTTTTAAAATGGCCATAACTCAAAAAATTGAAGCCGGAATTGTCTCAAATTTTTTATGTAGCATAAGATCATCAATATGTATCAGAAAATGTAATAAAAATTTAGTGTGATTTGTTAGCCATTTTTGGAAAAACCATGTATAGCCTTGGATATTATGTACACATGTAGATGTAATAATTAATAATTTCATTGTAGGAGGGAGCTAATATAAACAAGTCACTGACGACATTAGGCAAAGTCATTCATGCTCTTGCATCAGCAAAGAAGAAAGGAGACTTTGTGCCTTACAGAGACTCAGTCCTTACCTGGCTACTCAAAGAAAACCTTGGTATGATAGTGTAGCATATAAGCATAGAGTGAGAGAAAGAGAGAAGGGGTGAGAAGAAAGAGATAAAGGTATACTTACTTGTATATTCCATACTATCAAGAGTACACTTGATACTATTAATTGTCTTTTCCAGGTGGTAATTCAAGGACAGCTATGATAGCTGCCATCAGTCCAGCACAAATAAACTATGACGAAACACTCAGTACTTTAAGGTAGTTTTGGTACATTAATAGACCTACCATTAGTACCATTTATATAGATATGCTGATCGTGCAAAACAGATAATGTGTAAAGCTGTTGTCAATGAGGATCCTAATGCTAAAGTAATGTGTATTTATTTATTTATTTATCTTATTTATTTTTCTATCTATTTATCAATTTTTTATGTATCTATTAATTTTTTTTTCTATCTATTTATTTTTTCATCTGATTAATTTATTTATTCATTCTTCTGTTTATTTATTTAGTTG